CATTGATATATGTCACAAACAGCAGAGGACCCAGCAAAAAGTCTTGAGGCTCACAGCTTGTAACTGTGTTCCAGTCAGATCTAACTCCATCTATTTCTACTCTTCAGCCAATTTTCTATCTAATTTGATAATATTTCCCCCACATCCACAAATTTAATTTTTGTAACAAGTCTTTTGTGAGGCATCTTATCAAAGGCTTTCTGAAAATCAAAGTAAACCAAATCCACAGTATTTTCTTCATCAACTCTGGCAGTAACATCCTCAAAGAATATCAGAAGATTTGTTAAACAAGACTTTCACTTAGTTAAACCATGCTGGCTCTTTGACACTATATCAAATGACTGCAATGCATCTTTAATCATACTCTCCAAAACCTTTCCAACTACTGACGTAAGAATAACTGACCTGTAATTGCCTGGACAATGTTTATCACCTCCTTTAAATATTGGACTAACATTAACCAATGTCCAACCTTCTAATGCTCTTCCACTAGTCAATGACCTATAAAAAATATTAGCTAGCGGTTCACAAATAAAATCTTTAATTTCCTTTAAAACTAGGATAAAAGTTGACCAGTTCCCAACTTTTCTTTTACAATTTCAAAACTTAAAATGATATCTTTTACATCAATATTGGTGATGTTTTTTTTTCTCACTTCGATAAATTTGGTTAGTGTAGCGACAAGAAAGTTGAACGCATTTGATTGTTCAAGCTTTCTTAACTTGGATGCTAAAATCAGAACTGTCACTTGCTAATTAAAGCCGAAAGTCGCGCAGTATGGTCGTAAGTTCAAAAGTTTCAGTTTAAGCGGAAATTAATTTACTAGTTATGCATTTAGAAAATTTAATATTAAAGCATCATCCTATATATCTTAACTCCACTTAAAACAACTTTTTATTATTTATATCATTATTATTGCACTAATATCTAGTTGCTCTGGTCTCCTGGTGGTGATATAACGATCTTATTACCTACGCAAACAAACTTTCAATTAATCAGCCGCAATTTGAAGGTCACGGGTTCGAATCCCCATCCCACCGAACATGCTCGATCTTTCAGCCGTGGGGGCGTTATAAGGTTACAGTCAATCCCACTATTCGTTGGTAAAAGAGTTGGCGGTGGGTGGTGATGAATAGCTGTCTTCCCTCTAGTCTTTCACTGCTAAATTAGGGACGGCTAGCACAGATAGCCCTCGTGTAGCTTTGCGCGAAATTCACAAACAAACAAATAATCAGCGGAGTCGTTTTGTGGATTTTTTATGTACTTCCATATGCTGGTGAATTTGAAAAATCGTTATTTTCTCTTTGCCTGGAATCTAATGCTTCATAGGTTTGAAGTATAGTCATGGGTTACAAGATATACATTTGTAATAGTTTCTTACCTAACTGATCGAAACGTTTGTGTATCTTCCCTGGTATAGTAGTAGAATATATTTTAGTAAAGAAGGTGTAATTTTATTATCATAACTTGTGTATTTAGATTAGTTAGGAATGAACACTTAATACTAGGTTTCAATACTAAGTATGGTTAAGCCTAATTAAATCAAATTATTAAGCCTAATTTTTATGTTTGTTTTGGACACTTTCGTTACTGTAGGTACAGTTGAGCCTAGTTATATCACATCATTAAGCTTAGCCAATTTGTGTGTGTGTATGTGAACACTAATTGTATGTATAGCTAAGCCTACTTATGATAAATAATAGTTATAAATCATTACCTAAAAGAATTTTATTTGTAACTGGCTTAAATAAAATAAATAAGAATTACAATACATCTACCTAATCTATATTTCACCACAACAATCATTTTGCATGAAAATAGATGAAATCAATTGTACCTAGACTACAACTATGTTGTGTTCCATCTCTCGGCCTGATAGGCCCCGTAGTCCAGTAGCCAGGAGGAATACCGT